TGAAACAACTGAAGTTGAAGCACTGAGAGGATTGATCTATAACTGAATTTCTCGCGAAATGAAAAATGAAGAAATGAAAAAGAAAGAAATGAAAGGAGAGCCTCTTATGCATCTTGAGCAGTCTAATATGATGGGAAAATGTCCACTATCGTCCTAAGCAGACATTCAGCAGAACGAGTGCTCCAGCACTGTCAGACTGTGTGGGAGAGCAACCAGAGCAGGAATAACATCACTCGGATTTCCCACACCTAAGCTCAGAGATGGAAGGAGGATGCTCATTTCCACAGTTTTTTGTCTTTGCGAATGTATGAGTGAAAACTTATGCCGAATATCCGACAACATGAATTCAGTATTGTTACCAAGCCTTTCTATAGACACTAGATATATCAGAAAGACGCCGGATGCTGGCCTAAAGAGCGAACTTGATATGCTACGCCAAACCATATGGCTGACTTCATTTCGGACGAATACTGACCACCCACCTCTCCTGATAGCGTATTATTCGAAATGGTCACATGATACTGAAGCTGTGCCTCTACTCAAAGCAATACAGTTCGAGTGGACTGCTAAAAACTGCTGCTGGAAAAGTGTGGGATTGAATAGTATAGAATACCATTCAGGCAGGACGCGAACTCTGCAGGGGGGGGGGGGGGCATTTGGAATACGCACATACGAACCTATTGAAAACCTCATGATAGCCTTCTAAACGGGTGACATCAGGTGAAACTATCAAAGGGACATGATGCAAGGTTGGAGCTCAAGCTCCTCTGGGACCACTACCACGTTGTAAGAAATGCTAGTCGGCAGGGACCTTGCACAGTCAATACTACTGCCTCGAGAAAACCCAGTGAAGCTATTGAAGAAATCATGTAGCAGCTTTAGGCGGGAGCGATTGCGGATTCCTTGAGCTCGACCGCCACGGCGGATGACTTCATATTCTGAAGACGGTGAAGGTTGTGAAGCAAGGGATTGTTTCCGCTCATGGAAGAGCATTTTAGGAAAATGTGCCGTAAAAATCTCGTCAGGTGGCACCCTATGTGACGAAAAAAAATTATGTGCTTATGTATGGGATGCGCGGTGGTGCAGTGCCACTGCCCACACACATGGTCCGATGGTCAAAAACTCGAATCTCATCCAAGCCCACTAGGCTTCCATACTTATGGGGTCGGTTAGTGGTACCAGACTTGTGAGGATAAAAGTAGTGACCTGTTTGTCGGCTGACCTTCGCAAGTCAGACAAAAAGGTGATAATATATTTGTGGGGGAGGGGGGAGAGGTTCACTCCCGTGTTTTCCAATACTAGAGATAAGAATGAGAGCGCTCATGACACGTAATCGGCCCATTCATAGTATACTTCTGATGAGTACCGGAGTATATAGAAGCATCCTGGGGTCTTTCCACAATCTGGCCTGCAATAGTCCTTGCCTGGGCCTGGGGTGGAAGAGCGTCAGTGTGGTGACCTGGTACAGAAACTTGGATAGGATGTGGACAGGATGTGTGCATTGTAAGACATCCAACAGTTTTATCAAAGGTGCTCTTCAAATGGGTTGACCACATTCTTACCCTTATTAGTGTTAGAGAGCAGAAAGTGGTGCTCTCTAAAACTAAGAATAAGATAGCAAAGAATGCCCACCCCCTCGATTGGATTTTCACTTACTGCATA